CCCGTAAACTAAGGCTTAGTCTTACTAAGCCGCAATGTTGTAGGGGTCGGTTAGGTAGCATCACCAAAGGGAAGAAAAAGAGGCTGAACCAATTGAATGCCCCACCACGCCTAAAACAATTAGGTATCTACTACTCCGTACTCCGTAGAGAATTAACGATGATGTACCTAGCCTAGATAGACCTTGATACAGGAGCCAAACACAATAAACATATATCGCCGGAGGGATTATCGTTGTGTGTTTATGCATCCCTCAATATACCTGCGATCCACTACCAAACTAATTCACCACAAACATCAACAATTGTTTATCCAACACGCTCAACCCCACTCTTTACGCGTTTACATAACACCGGGCTTCCTACAACCCATGGCAGTACGCAGTACGGCGGAGGAGATGGACAGGCTCCAGTTTTCGGATGATGACTCCGATGACCTCTGGAATTCACCCTCAAAAAGACGAAGCAACAAGCCAACTCGCCATAAAGCCCCAGAGGAGGGCAGCACTACACCCGAGACCAGGCCCTCTCACGATGGGGAGACGCTTTTCGATCGCCAGGAAGCGCGTGAAGCCGCGTTGCAACATGAGTTACAGACGGTCCGGAATATCAATCAAGTGATCGAAGGATTACTGGGTAGTTTAGATCGCGCGAAAGGGAATATGGATGTATGTCAACGCACCTCTTTCTGCCAGCGAAGGGAAATCCCTGCTAATATACGCCCGCACAGACTGTTGCGCGCACTGTTGACTCTGCTTCGACTCTATTGAACACATGGACCCGAATTCTATCTCAAACCGAGCATAACCAGCGACTGATACTCAATCCCAACTGGCAAGGCGCACTCCAGGATGTTGCGGATATGGAAAACGAGGAGCTTCTGCGCCAACAGGCCGTAGAAAGACGCGAACGAGAGCTGCAGCAGCAGAGAGAGGCTGCAGCACGAAAGGCAGAGGAGGAAGAAAAGAAGAGAGCTCTGGCAGGTAGCTCTAGAGGGACGCGTGGGACAACTACTCGAGGTAGAATTGTCCGAACCACTGGCCTGGGAAGAACCCCGAGCGTGTCCTACTCCGGAACCAGCTCAAGCACATCGAGGATTGCAGCGAACCGAGGGGGTACTTCTACAACGACATCTACGCGCAGGCCAGTCAGTGGTATTGCAAGAGGATCTGGTGTGGCCCGAGGACGCGGCAGAGCGTAGAGTAGATATCTGATGATCCTCGTGTACTATACTTTTCTGAAGCAAGTAAAAACGCAATGACAGAACATGATACCCAAGCTAAATGGACAAATATATGTGATTATTGATCAATTGCAGTCACTGCTGCGAGCCTGTGACAAGATCAATGTAGAAAAAAGTCATTTCTGCCTGAGGCACCAAGACAACACGAGCTAGCGATAAGTAAACAGCTGCATCCACCAGTCCGATAAGAAGCTCAGCTGCTTCCTATCCTGGCTGCACTCCATCTGCAGACATAATGAACTTCGCACCCTATCAAGATGAGTCTCCCGAGGTCGAGCGAGCTCTTTCACCACCCCTAGGCGACGCGAATCGTTTCAAATCACCCATTCTTGGGTCCCCGCGCGGGTCTCCCCCGATCCCCGGTGCGCAATCTGGCGGTCTCCCATCCCCGAGTCATTTCGCAGGCGCAAATCAGATACATGGCGGCGGACAGGCAAACCAAAGGTATGGGCGCGATGTCGAAGGTGGGAGATGGAATCTGGGAGCCTTTGAAACAAGTCTCCCGATCCGTATGGACGTTGAAGCTATGCTGGCATATCTTCTTCTCCCTCCGGCGGGTGGGGTATTCCTGTTGCTGTTAGAGCATAAGAGCGACTACGTTCGGTATAGATGCGGTCAGAAATCAATCAGACCTGTGCATACAGCTGACATATGGCAGGTTTCATGCTTGGCAATCGAGCATGCTCTTCACAGTCATGTTTGTAAGTGCACCCGGACATTGGTATGATCATAGCACTCATCCCGGAGCAGATTGCCCATCTTATTCTCTCCTGGTCGAGCTTCCTTTCCTGGCTTCTGTTCATTTGCGACCTCGGCTTGATCGGATTTCTGAGCATGCGCGCCTATCGGGATGGTGAGTCCTCACTGTGGATCATGACCGTCGACTTTTGTGCTGACAGGAGCTTAGTCGACACGCTTGAACACTTTGAGGTTCCTATATTCGGGCGTCTCGCAAACTCCTTTGTGGATAATGAGTAGAGTCGATCCTGCTTCAGCGGTCTTGCATATCGTGTTGTAATACCCTTCTGCGTTCTCTCTCTCTCGATGGCGATGGCGCGGAATCTGAGTTGCCTGGCTGAAAGTGAGGATTTATGTACAGCATTTGTTTCGTCCCCTGTTGGTTGTCGTCTGTTCTTACTCCATGTTGTGATCCTTCTGTTCTGCCCTGGTCACCATTTTTCAGCGTGCATATGACATGACTCTCCTGTTATTATGGGTGTACTATGCATTGTTCAGTCTGTAACACTAACGGTGGATATTTTTTGATATTGACAGACATCTGAAGTTCATTCACAGCGTCTTTATCTTTTTTGAGAGCAGACTTCGGCCTACTAGTCTAACATGCACTGACATGAGAGCATCTCGGCGCTGATTCAGGCTACGAACATGCCTCAATCAATCTTCACCGTACCATCTCATCTTCCTCAACCTGTTGCTTCCCTGCCTGCTTGCACTGCTCAATGTCCATCACAAGTCATCAGCATCCGGGCGTCATTACGCTTTACACAGATGCTCAAGCTGAAAAGACCTCACCTCTCCATACGAGATTCATCCAGTATCTCCTTAAAACCAGTCAGTCTAAAATCATCTACACCCATCCCATCCACAGTAAAGCAACCTATCCCTAACCCGAGAACCCATCCTACCAGCCCCAGCGACTTTAGCATGTGCCAAGTCCAGCGCGTCACAAACACCTGCGGCCACCGAAACGACCATGTCCTCATCTCCTGCCGGACAGCGAAATCCATCATAGAATCTTCGCCGGAGTCTCCCAACTACAGCCACAGACGCAGCCTCCTCGCCGTGCCTATCAGCAGATGCCTTCTGGACGCGGTGAACGGAGGATCGATTATCATCCACGGTGGTTTCCATGCTTGCACTGAGCCGTATTGTAGGATGGCTATAGTTCGGGAGTTGAGATCGGCGGAGGGGTTTGTGTGTATGGTTCCTGGGTGTGGGAGGGTGGGCTAGGTGGGAGGGTTGGGGGATTGGCTGGGATTCTGTCTATTGCATGGGTTGCTTTTTTCTCTTTTCCAGCACTGCAAACGGGCGTTCTCGGGCGGGATAAAGTTGGAGGAATAATATCCATCTCAAGACTGATGGACTCCGCACAGCTTCTGTACAGTTGACTCACTTCACGCAACATGTGGAAAAAATGCTGGTTTTATCTTTATGGACATAGACGGCGTTAAGAGGCCGGCTTTACTAACTACTCACAGAATGGATGAAAACAATCCATTGCTGCCTGGCTCAGTATACTCTGGCTCAGAAAGGTTTGATATTATTGACCTCGTACCAGGGCCAAGCATATACTCGCCAGGGCATAGACGCAACTTCTGGAATGACAATCTCGTACAGCAAACAGACATAGTAAAGCGCGAAGGGGAAATAATGGCTGGGTTATGAGAAATAACATGATGACAAAGGTAAGACCGACAAAAGATTGAGGCCAAGGAGAAATCATCATAAATGTCACATTCACGACTCAGGAAATAGAATCGAAAGGTTGTTCGTAAAGAGAACGAGCTGGAAAATCGCAGGATACAAGAATCATCGAGGCACAAACGATTGGTATCTTCATCATTAACAAAAACATAACCAAGCATAAAGGGTCAAAGATCGTGGCTGCTCGTGAGACGGATCATTTAGATGATTTGAAGGTAGTTACTCGGCACCAAACCAGTACGGCTTCGAGTAGTGGTAATCTCGGCTTCCCACCAGCCATCGTCCTGCAGCCGAATGACAGACAGGACGTCTCCTTTGGCAAACCCGAGCTCTTCGGGTATAGCGGCGGTATAGCTGTACAAAGCGCGTGCTACGTAAAGAATGAAAGTTAGCTCAGGTGTCTGTTGTCGACTAGAGACAGGTTCGAGTGCTGCGGGCACTCCACTACTTACCAAAATGTAGAATTGGACGTCCGTCCCGGCTAAACTGCCTGCTAGGGTCAGCTACAGCCACAGTCCTGCTCCTGGATCTGCCTCCCTGGCTACCACCATCGCCGTAATATGACATAGGCCGACCAGAGTCCCTGCCCCGAGAGCCGTAGCTGTCATAACTGGTGCCGTACATATCCCCACTACCACCGCTCGACAGTTGCAACTCCATACCACCGGCGCTGGAAGGCCTGGTCTGCTGTCTGAATTGGGGTTGAGGAGAAACGGCGCGTGCCGCCGCCGGGTTTGGAGAGCTGCGCCTAGGAAATTCACGCGGGGATGGTGCTGCATCGACAGGCCGCTGAGGCGGAGTAGAAACCGAGGGCGATTGGCTATAGCGGCTTCTGACACTGTTCGTCTGATACGTGCTCGGGCTTGGACTTGCGCCCCTACTGTAATGGCCCGTCCGGGTCTCCACACGAGCAGGCGCAACCTGCGGGCTGACCGGCTGTGGACTGATCACTTGGGGACTTGAAACTTGTGGGCTGGCGCTGCGTCTCGGAACAGGTGACTTCGCTCGAGGTATCTCCTGTTTCGCTCGAGGAATTTCCTGTTTGACTCGAGGAACTTCCGCGCTGTTTCGGCTTGCCAAACTTGGGGTATTACCGCTTCCCCTGAGCATACTCTGGGTCTGACCAGTGTATTTCTGAGTCGTTTTCTGCATCTGCGCAGAAGTAAAGGCGGGTTGTGGCGCATCAAGTCTCTTGACCGACGGATCATTGTAGGCAGGAGGGGGAGTCGCCACAGGTGCGTCGCTGTAGTTAGAAGAAGGAGCGGACGGCGCAGGTGTGGCAATGCCATGATACCTGTCGGCAGACACTCTGGTCATGGACTGCTTTCCACCGCCTTTCAAATCTGCTAGAGCACGGGCGATAGGGTCAAGCTCCTCCTCTCCAGCCTTGGCCGTTTGAGCAGCCTTCTTGGCTGTGGCCTTGTCTGGGGAAGCGACATCAAAGACGTTGTTACCAACATTAAGTTGAAAATTCGCCCTGGGGTCTGCCGGCTCAGGACTTTCAACCGGCCGCTCATTGTCAAGGACAGGCGCTGACGGTTGCTGAGGCTGAGATGCCTTTACTGGAGTGACCTGTTTTGTGGGAGACTCCCATGTGCTTCGAGTAGGGGTGTGCGAGGGGCCAGAATTACGGTCCTTATCATGGCGGCTCTTGCGGCGGAACGGGCTGTTGCTAAAGAAAGCACTTCTTCTCTTTTGGATCTGCTTGTCTCCACCAAGACCTGGGAGCGCAACCCCGTTGGTGGGCTTCGTTGGGGATTGCCTAGCGCTGGGAGGCTCCTGGCTCGACACCGATGTTGGGTTAGAGATCTCACTTTGCGACTCACGGCTCGAAGGCCGATAAGCACTGTTGCTTCCCGAGCTACGCTCTGAAGGGGGTCCAGTGCGGCAAAACATGGTCATTCCGTCCGTCGGATATGCATTGTGCGGCACTGGCGCAATCTCTCCGTGTTGGTTAGGGTCATAGTTTGGTGGGAGATGGCCTCCCCGACGAAGGTCCAGAGGGGCCGGCGGTTGCGTTGGTTTTTGCGGAGTGACCGTAGCATCCCTGCTGGCAGGCGTTGTAGGGCTATTGTTATCCAGCCTGGCTGCCGATTCAGCTCGCGGCTCATGATGAGATTCGTAAGTTGACGGCTGCGGAGAGGAACTGCGGAATGCTGGATTGATGGTACGCTGAAATTGGGCCACAGAAAATCCATCTTCTTCAGACAGCTCTGAGCTTGTGTCGTTTACATCGCCCCGGGCGAAGTTGATGAACTTGGGCGGATCCGGAATGTCTTGTCCAGTTCCTCTTTCCTTGATGAAAGAGACAATGTCTTTTTCAACTTCGCAGTTTTCCAACGAGAGACGAATCTTCTCACAAGACTGGATACAATGTCAGCTCCGATTATCATGATGGGGAGACTCATAACATACAGCGTCGTCACTAACGCACACAGTCGATGCAATGTTTGCGTACGCCCAAAGACTGCTTTTGGTGAAATCGATTCGTTCCTCTTCGAGATCTTGAAATTTCTGATAGTCGATTAGCATCATTTCCCCGTGAACGTGTTCAGTGAAGGACGTACATCACAGGCTGCCTTCCACTCCTTATTCCAACGACCGGTAGTCTCTTCGAGGATCTTGACAGCGGCCTCGTACTCGCTGCTGCTGGTTGCAAGCTGGATTTGTGTCTTTTCAAGCTTGGCCTTGTTTTTCCGCTCCTCCTGCCCCATTACCATATGTCCTTGTGCGAGGTAACCCTTGATCCTCAAACAATCCTGCTCGTATCGGTCTCGCGTCTAGTGCCATGTCAATTAATGTCCATTTACAATGCCATTATATAAATGTCCGAGCATTGCCGCACCTTGTTCACCGTTTGGGTCTGTTGTATCTTGGTCTTGAGAAGGCGCTCAATTCCTGTCTGGATGATCTTCCGTCTCTCCTTCGATCCGCCTGCAAAGGCAATCAATGGCTCCTCAAGTTCTCGTTTCATTTGCGCTGCAATTGCGGCGTGGGACTTGGCTATCGATTCCGTCTCACCACGGACAACATCGAACGACGACCGCAGAGAGCCTGTTTCGTGTGTTCCTAGCGGCTTGCGGCAAAGTGCCATAAGCTTCCGTGAATATTCATCTTCGATCGCGGCGCGGACTGCACGGTTCGTTAGAAGTTGATCGATAAGGTAGCATCTGCGCTAGATCTCTAACGTACTGTTGTAGAATGTCTTGAGCTCATCACAAGTCACTTTCGCACCATGCATGCGATCTAGCATAGGCCCAACACCAGCATCCTCTTTGCCCCAGAAATTATTGGCAACTAGGCCACAAAGTAGTTAGCCTCCGATGGCATCAATGACGAAACTACAATGCGGGATCATACAGGATAGGGACACCGATGGAGGCTCTGCAACTGTTCCTGGCATTTTGCAGACACTCGTCCGTCAAGTGTAACGATTCACTTCTAGGTCTCTTTCATTCAAGCTTCAAGAAGGGGTGGGACCGGAGAATATAGTCGTAAAGACGGATATCGCAATGCACGAGATAAGATATCAG